CAACATTAATGGAGGATTCGATTCGATTTCACAGGAGCATTAGTCGTGTATAAAGCAAATTAAGGGTGACCTGAAAAGCTAAGAGACACTGGACGGCTTTTTCGACCTGATTGGGGCTCATCAGCAGTGTGAATTCGTCGATCAGAGTGGGGATTAAACCGGGGTTCTGACGGGTAGAGTGGACGTATGTTACGCACTCCACCACCGGGGCCTGTTCAGATCGGTTTTCATTTTCCATTTACACAATACAGCACACGCATACTTTGCGAGCTTGGTGCAGACATCGGGTTGGATTCCCAGTTGAGCCAATGGATTAGCACTACTGATGAGATCCAACAAGGTTAAGACAGCTGTACAGTACTTCCTAGCTTGTCTATTCACGCTTCGTTTACACTATACACAACGAATTCCTTTACAACATTTGGAAGACCAAACACGTAGAGGGCAGGTCAAACTATTATCCAATGAGCTTGAGAGCGACTAGCGCCAATACATAATAATTGAAGAGAGATCGGAGTCGGTGTCAAAATGTGAAATTGTAGACGACCTGTGGGATACTCAAACTCAGGGCAATATGGTGTGAGTGCAGCGCTTATATCAGCGATATGATTTGACGCTTTCAGATTGACAGCAAATGTACCGCAATGAAAGGAATTTCATGATGCAATGAAATACCCCCATGACTACCAGTTTTCAATAAGTGCTTGAACTATTTATGCCAAAATTTAGAATACCTGGTCACTTAGTTTTATCTTTATACGACCAGCTTGTTTGTTACGATTAGTCGGTTTGTTGCAAATCCCCGATCTGAGGCAAGCTTCAAGCTGATTGGGTTAAAAATGCTATGCCGTTTTGTATATTTAACAGATACATAACGATTGCCTGATCGGCCAATGTGCTCCGCGAACATGCGAGTTGCAGTATCAACTAGAACGAGGTGTTGGTTTGAGGCATTGTTTTAAAATTCCGTCTCCGGGTCTGCGGCGAAGAGGACTGAACCATGAAGGCCGCAAAACTGCATAATAGACGAGAATGATGGGAGAATAAGTATGATGAATTTGAAGGTTTATTGTGAATCCGTATCAATCACATTGTTGAGCTCTGACAATCAATGCTAGAAAGTCAGCAGGAGAATTATCATTATCCTTTATGAATACTGATGAATTTACAAACATAACAATGGTCCGAATATTTCTCTGGGATCAGTACCGCCGTTTGTTACCATATCTTCCGATTTGAGGAACAACTATTCACATGACTTGACAAACCTGTCTCCAAGGTATTGAACTTTTAGGAATGCACATAGATGTATTGAATTTCACAAGACTCGATTGTGATCTTGGAATGATTTGAAAACATATAGTTGTTTCAGTAAACATGCAAACATAGTTATGTGTTGTTACCCATTGCGAAGAGCTATTGCTCTAAATTTGCTCATTCTAACATGCTATTTAACCCCATTTTTGCAGGAGGCAGCGGCAAAATCGTTAATTTTTCAAAAGGACACGTTCGGCTGCACACCATTGCACTATGCGGCTGAGACGGGCAGTTGTTCGGCTACGGCGTACTTTTTGAGCCACGGTGTGACCCTGTTGGATCGGAACGCACGAGGAGATACACCTCTTCACATCGCTGCCGAGCATGGTTACTATCGAATAGCCAAAATGATGCTGGATACTGAGGAAGGAATGCGGGCCCTTTATCATGAGGACCACCAAGGGCGTATTCCTCTTCATCGAGCTGTAATGCGGGGTCATCCGCGAACGACGCAGCTGCTTCTACAAAAGGGTGGTATATTTAGGAAGTAAGTGCACATTCCTGTACGCTAGTACCAACTTGGAGAGGAACTGTTTCTCTCTATAATTAACCAATGAGCTCCCATAGGGGTATTTGCAAATTGGTGTGATTGACGTATCATCTGGTCGAAAATTACAAGCGTGCAATAGGCTCAAAAAAACTGATTAGTTTGCAATCCAATTCTAGAGGGGGACGCTATGCATGCAGTCATGTTGAAATTTTCTTTAGTTTGTCCATTCATTGCCTCCTCTTAACTGAATGAGTAAGACCGGGACGTATGTCAGTCTAGGCATTCTTGTCTCGGGCTTGAAGACGGTGGTGGTGGCGCAATTGTTTAATCGCGGTCACTGGCGTGACTTAAACCCTATGGTCCGAGGTTCGAGCCCCGCCACCACCACTTAAATTTGGTGATAGGCAGATTTGCTGTCGTCTAATCCAATATCACGCCTAACCTAGCGGGACCTTATGTGGTTCCCCACTCCAAGTCCCGGGGCTTACATTATCGGCTTTCATCACTGAACAGCAGGTCTGTGTAACTATAAGGGTTCAACTCGTCTGCTGTTCACCATACAAGAGTGTAATAAAATTACCTTCCAAAAAGTCAAGGAAGAAGGGGAGCGAACAATTATACGTATATCTTGATTCACATACTGAATTACATATTCCTAGATCATTTTTTGGTATCTGCTAAGAACCTGGTAAAAGTATATTCCAATTCGCTGAGACCACTACCTGTTATTCCCTACATGTTTCAGTTATCTACCACTCTTAATAGAGCCTATCGATCCAGTCGGGGAGTTGCGTGATCCTGTAAGCTAGTTTATTTGCGCATGCGCTTAAATAAATGAATAAAACAAACAAAACTTAGGCCACCGAATTCGAGGCTTTCTAACTTTAAACAGAGCATTTTTTTGCAATTGAATATGGTTCGCAGCTTTATTGCGCGCATTATATGATATGAGATTGGAACGGTCCCCCGTTTTATCGTCTAATGACATTTAACCATTTGAATAGCTTAGGAATGTGCAGCACATTGTTTACAACGCTCATCTTTCTCAATTTATCAATAAAGAATGCGCAACGAAACAATAACCTCTTGTTCTGTGTGGCAGTTGTACATGGGGACGTGGTTTAAATGACAGACTAGCAAGACCGCTCTTTTGCTCAGTTTTCATATCGTGCCTGTCAATTGGTAGGTTGAATTTCTGTTTATTTTCGGATTTAAGAAGGATCCAAGGTGGATGTGCTAGTTCTTCCTTACAAGCTTCCAAAACATCAACTATTATTACATAGCACAGGATCAAAGTATGATCATCCGTTGTCGTTTTTTGTTCACTTGACTTTTTGTCTATCAGTAGAACTTGGCCCAACTATTTACCATCTGATGATTACTGGTGATTATTGTCATCACTGGTCTTCGATAATCTAATCAGGGTTGAAAAAATAAATTCTGCATGACTCCTATCGTAGGTGTATCATTCACTGTTATGCGGAATTACAAGGATAAATATACTCCAACTTAGCTCGCAAATAAATCGTTCTCTCGTGGATATTTCACTAAAGTGCGCTGAATGGAGTTCTGTAAATAATCATCAGTATTTACTGATAGTTATGCTGGAAACTAAACAGCTGTTTTGGCGCCTTTTGTCCAAGACCACTAAAATAAGAAGACAGTGGTTATCCTTAACTCGGGTTAATTTTCTACAGAAGGGGCTTGGGATGAAGTGAAAACGTTATGAATGAAATAATACGTGGTATGTTTCCGGTGGAGGGTTGGGTAGCACTTGATGCGGATAGGAAACATGGGTCCCGACCGAGATCGGTCGGTTCATAGGTCACCTTGGAATTATGGTTGTCTGACGTACACCGTAGTTACGCGAATGAATATGGGCCCCGTAGATGACCAGTGAATCAACAGCAGTATATATATATATATATATTTACACCGACTTGTGAACAAGCAAGATGCCAAAGACACAACAATAATAACAATAATAATAATACGAGATGGGTGGATCGGAGTACAGAGCAAAATGGAAAGGGACTGGAACAGTAAAATACGGGAAAATGGAAGACAACTGGGATAAGAAAAATCTTTTGTGTTTCACCGTACACGTTTTAATAATTTTGTGTTCTCAGTCAGGACAATTGAGATACTGACCAGTGTTGGTCGATTGGGATCAGTTAACAAACATATTGTTACTGAGCGACACAAACCTCAATTGCATGCTAGGCAGTTAATTCGAGACAAGCCAGAATGGAACTGATTCTGAGATTTGCTTGTTTCAAATTAACTCCATGAGATGTGAACAATTTTTTTTCAACCTACATTGGGCGCACGGTTCTGAGAACGGTGTGAAAAAGGGGTACCGCCTGCGCATAAAAATGGTCCGAAGGGACCGCAAACCCCATCGTGTGATTTAGAGAAGTTTTCTCAAGCCGTTCGTTATGTTATTATAAATATTATCATTATTATAAATATGTGTAATAAAACTGCTTTACCTTTAAAAGTCATCAACATCCGGAAAAGGGAGGCTAGTTTCAGCACCGAGTAGCTGAATACGTTCTAGGTCGGTTTAGGGGTTCAATGATCCATTCATTTGCAGGTGTTGCAACCAACCATCTACAGTTATCCACAATATGATAAAAACAAGCTGTTACTCAAGCTACCGTATCTGTGCACTTCTGTCCGTGATCGTATGTTGCAAACTCCTATGCTTAACGATCGATGACTGTCAAAAAGGAACGATTTGTGCAGCGGAACACTAACACATATTTATCTATATATAACAAAGAGCATAGTAAATGTAACAGTCAATCCGTTCCGACACAAAATGTAAAATCGCCCAACTATCACAGTGTTTGCCATGATGCGACCGTTTATCAGAAGTACAATCTAAACGCCTTTCTATGTTTATAATATCCATGGGATTTCGTGTTTAATTTCCCTGCTTCTCTTACACCAATTACCGAGCAAACGTTGGCTATCGAGTGAAATAATCTCTCCAGGAATATCGCAAATATTATATTCTTTCCTCGTTACTCTGTGATGCTGCTTCACTCCCCATTACGCATGTTCGACTAGTGACGTATATTTTAATTTAGTGGCCTATTTATCGGCCACTGCAAATGAAATTGTTTACTATGCTTTTCATAGTATATTATATGGGGTCATTCATAACAAGCTAGACCTAACATGATGTCATCTATCAAGAGTATACTGGATTTGTGCAGTTAGAATTACGACAATTGACTGTATTTTTTGCTTAAATTTGAACTCCTTGTGACATGAATACATCTAAGGAAAGTCCTCTGGTCACAGGCATTCATTTTTTATTACGTTCGTGTGATGAACAGTAGACGGGGTAAACCCCATAGTCACGAAGGCCTGTTGTTCAGTGATGGAAATCGGTAACCTAAGCCTTGGAGTGGTGTACCACATATGGCCCACCTAGGTTAAGCGTGGTACTGAACCGGACAACCACAAAGCCGCCTACCACCAAAGTTGGGTGACTGTGGCGGTGCTTGAACCTCGAGTCATAGGGTTAAAAGCACGCCAGTGACAGCGACTAGACTGTTGTGTGTGTGTGTGAACGAAAAGCACACAGCTGAGGATGAAAGTGGTCGTAAAAGAGTTTTACTTTGAAAAAGCACTTTATTGTATTCTTATCGTTATACGTAATATGATTGGTAACCTATTCGCTTTTATTCGTCAGAGTAGAGGGAGCAACTCTCTCCATCAAAGTTCCATGAAAAAGACTAAGAAACGGTTTCATTCAATTAATGACCGGTTCTGAACGAGATTATCACTCAATGATAATCATTTATAGATATAAGTAACAGGTAGTTTCTAATATCACTTAACATAATTTTTTTACTCCTTATAGATGTCACAAAGGGAACACGCCACTGCACACTGCCGCTCAGTACGGACAATTGGAAACGTGTCAAGTTCTGTTGAAGCTCTCTCCAGCCCTGCTTGATCAGGTTAACTTTGAAGGAGTAAGTTGAACAATTTGGGGATGCATAGAAAACCCAAACTTGGATCCTCAATAAAATTGAAACTGTGTTCAACATCAGTGTTTTCATTTAGAGATATTTCCTCGCTTTTCGCAAGTTCTAATCTGCTACGCTGGTGCATTGTTGAATTAGGCATTGCTTCCCGAAGTTTCACTGAATGGACTAAATATTTTGCTTGGAGTTGAAAATTGAAGGATCGTCATCGCGATACAGAGAACCATTCACTTCAAGCTCAATAGAATATTTTAATTCGCGGGAACAGATGCATACATAAATAGGTCTACCAATAATTAAATTGAAACATATAAACCCGGACAAGCAATGCTATCGCAAATCCATCCTTTTATTACCTTGTATAGTGCTTGTTCAGAGTTTCTGAGAAAACGTGCTCAACACGGGACTACAGAAGAGTGGTAGTCTTTTATGAGAGAATAAATACTTTTTCAGAGCAAAGAAGTGAACGAGCTGGAATTACATTTGTTAAAAAAGGGGCGCTAAAGTCAAGTGTGATGTGTTATTATCGTTCCTATGAGTTTTCAAAGTGTTTGGGTATTTAGAAGAATCAATAGCATAGCCTGCCAACGGAACATACTATTGAACTCAGCTAAAACTTTGAGAGACGAAGAGATAAACGTGAAATATTTTGTTGCTAGGTTGGGAAAGGTCACAGCAGAACTACAAAGGTAAAAGAACGATGCACATACAAACCATAACGTTCTTGAGGGTTTGAAATCATTGAGAATAGTCTAAGGCGGTAAACGAAAAGTTAAACTGTTCTGTCTCATTATCACCAAAGCTCTATCCCTAGGTGGAAAGTTCTGTTATCCTTGTCAGAAAATAAGCCAGTTGGAAGTTGAAGTCCAGCTCGATAATCTCTGCTCAGAAACGCATAACTTAGTACCTAACTCCTCAAGTGAACCAGAGTTTGAAAGCCACATTGGTTGATTGTCGCTACCAATACCGCAAGCACACTACCAATACCTGAGGGCCATTAACACGGAAACATCTGAAGGCGCTTAAGGAGATCCAGCCTGGTGGTACCATCACGTGTGTTCGAGCCCCAACACCACCGCATCACTTTCCCCATTGCGTGTTGTATGATTAGCCGCCTTCCCTCTCTGAAATCTGTATCATTATGTATTTAATAAAAGGAGGTAAAAAGAAACAAAGAAAAAATAATATAAACCACGAAAAGTTATTATAATAAGCAGACCAGGTACATGATCAGGAGTTGTTCTGATGAATGGATTTGACTACGTCTGGAAGATGTCTGAGCTATTATTCGATAAGAATAAATTTGAAAATAGGTTTGGAGACGAAAAGAATGGAGCAAATGAGTCTACACTGCTATGACGTGGACGAAATATTCTGTACCACACTGAAAGATAAAAACATGACAAGAATGCTCACGAAACGATTCAGTTCAAGTTGGAAGCAGAAGCAAGTGACAAATTGGTTTTCCTAGATGTGGCACTCCGAAAAGATGATGATTCCTTAGGGCATCGAATGAATCAAAAATTAACTTGGACGGAACAATGTACACACTTTTACAGCTTCGTTCCACTCAGACAGAAAAATAATGATTCAGAGTTCCACAAGACGAGTGCTCAATATCTCCTCTGAGAATGTGTTAAATGAAGAACTAACAAAAACTAAGGACGTTCTGAGAGAAAACGGTTGTTCTGATCGGTTCATTGAGAGAGACTTTTAGAAGAGGCCACAATGCGGACAGGTTCTTGAGTCGCAAAAGAAGAAATGATTCATTTGTCTATCTTTTCAAGGAGATGCTATATCAGACCTCCTGAACAAATGTCTGAAGCGTGCAGTGAATCGGATCTAAAATGCAGCTCGATTATCGCGTATGTTCACAGACTCTCCCATCATCCAAACCAGCTAAAAAGATAGACTATCCACCCTGACCACTTTTATGGTTATCTACTTTTGACGGCGCTTGTGTTCGTCGCAGTACACGTAAATTGACCGCCTGATGCGGCAACTATCCCAATGCTTGGAGGAACACTGCCTACGCCGGTTAAAACAATTAGGAGAACGGAGCATTGGAAGCGTCTTTCTTGATCATTTAGTGGATACAGGCCATTAAATTGGAACAGAATCCGCTTTCAACGTGTGCCCCACCCCCCAAACCCTCTAAAACAGCGCGCTTACCCATAATAACAGCCGCTGGGGCGATATTTATATACTTATGTTTTTAACTGAAATGTAGGCTGTATGCCTATAGAAGTTATTATAATACAGTGCAATGAAATAGGCGTTCGCCTTTTCTCACCAAAACTGTGCACAAAAACGACTGGTTCAAGCCCTCCACTTATCCTGGTTCCAAACTGATCATCAACATCAACCCCACCATCAACACTCAAATCACTGTCAATCTCAACGGAACACAGACACATAGGGATTACCTCCCCCACCTCTCCATCTCAAATGACGCTTCGGAAAGGAATGTATTGGTCTTTCCAATTTACCTTAATATGCACGGAACGCAGCACGGAACCATCTTGTTGACGGGTGATGCACATATCTAGAAACCGCAATTTGTCGTTACACTCCATTTCTTAATTAAATGTAATGTTGGGATGTTGAACCTGTTTAATAGTACCGCTGTGTTCACTGTTGCATTGATCACACAATAAATGTAATTTACGTACCGTGTGTATAGTGCACAGTCTTCGCTGAATGACCGTAATTGAGTGTTTTCAAGTTTCGCCATGAATAAATCCCCGAAAAGCGGTCCCAGCAGAGACCCCATGGCCACGACATCCTTTTGTCGTTATATTTCATCATTAAACTTGAAGTGAATATTGTGTGTGCAGAAATGCAACAGTCGTCTTAAGTCATCCAAAGGGAGGCTGAGCTCTACATTATTGGTTTGTACATCAATGTACAGGTATTCAATCGTTTCGCCGATGGGAACATTTGTGAATAATGAACAGACGTCCAGCGACAGCATTGTTCGGTCGTTCAAGTTTGTGTCACGAATTTTGTTCACGAAAGTAAATGTAACTTTGACACTGTTTTGTTAGACTAACTCGAACTGGTTCTAACAACTTGGCCAACTACTTTGCCAGGGCGTGATATCGGGAGTTGCACATATCCAAAATTGGTCGTAATGGTACTCCTTCTTTGTGTACTTTTGACAATCCATACAACCTCGGAATAAGAGTCCTGGTTGGTCTAGTATGTTCAAAGATGGACGTATTAATGACTCCTCTCTGCTGTAAGCATCGCAAACTTTTAGAAAACCCTTCTATTTGAGCCGTCTTATCTTTTTCCTGCGACTAGGTGAATTTCGACTGACCACTTATGGTATGGTATTCATCTTGTCTATGTAGTTTGTTCGATTTTGCAGCACTATACCCTTTCCTTTATCCGGTCTGGGTAGTATGATGTGTCCGATGTATTCTGTAGTTACTAATTCATCTATATCTAGCTTGACATTCCGATGTTGGTAGCAAGCAATCACTAACGTAAATTGGAGTCTTTCTAACTCCAATGATGAAGAGGGAAGTAAATCAGAAAGTTTCACGTATAGGGTTTCAAATTCCACCTCCATGTCCAATTGGTTCGATCTCCTATTCGGACAACGAAACTTTGGTCCCAGAGATAACACTTCTAACAGCATTTTGTCCAAATTTAAGTAAACATAGTGTTCTGGGATGGTAGAGAACTCACCCACTGGCTTGGTAGGATAAGGTTGTAGACACAACGTGGTTCGGCTTTGTTCCATTTGTTTAGAAAAGTGAGTTTTAACTTGAATATTTGGATTATTGATCAGATTCTAAGGAATTAGTTTCTAATTAAACGGTTCTTCTGTTTACATTGATAAACGTAATTAATTTCAATTATTCCCGAGTTTAAATATTGGGCAACAAGCAGTTCAATACTGATTGACCTTGAGTCAATAAGAATATTTTCAAATTAATGAATATTGGGTAATTCATGTTTCCCTTCAATTATGCTTACTCACCAGGTTACCGCACTACATGCTGCAGCAATGAATAATAATGCAGAAATTGTTGAATACCTACTCACCGCCGGTGCTCAAATTCTTCCAGCAAGGGATGGTTCGTATTTTGTGTGCATGGCTCTTGAGCGAAGACATCACGAAACTCTGAAGGTGACGATTATGCACACAAGGTGAGAGTGGGTTATTTCTTCCAAGTTCTAAATAGTAAAGACAGTTTTTTGGTCTCGGATGCTATTAAAACAGTTACTAAAGAGTAATTCCCAATTGCAACTCCTTGTTTGGTGATCTAAATGATTCCTTTGATCGCAAAATCTTTTCAAATCAAATGAAACTGATTCACAAGCAAGCAGTTTTAAGGTAAACATTTTGTGTTAAAAACCTTTTTTCAACTTTACGGTGGAAGTAGAGTTTAGTTTCATGGACTGATGAATTCTCCAACCAAAGTGTAATCTGTATTATTGCGTAATAAGCCTTATGCTGCCTATATTCAATCAAATAAGGTGAGGGAAAACGAACACGAATCGTTTACCGGTAAAAGAAAGCACCCACGGAATATTTATTTTTCCCATTTACCAGCTTTAAAAGACTGTATATCATTCAAATGGAACAAAGCTTTTGCTTTAATTCTCTAAGACAGTGATGGCCGTTTAACTACTTCTAAAATGATAAAATGCTTTGTGTTTGAAATATAAATTTTGTGACTTTACGTGGGATCACAAAACTGAAATTGTTAAGAAACATTTCATTTCAGAATAACAAAGAGGCATTTTTATATTGTTTTTTTTTCAGGACGCGAACCTCTGACATGAGCAAAATTATGTATCACAGTCAGAAGCACTTCGAAGAAATTGATACAAAATGATTGCTAATCGAATGAGACAGTTAATTGCTTATGACGGACGCCAATGACAAAGCCTAATTTCTCTAGTAAATCTGATTGAGTGTGTTTCAACCCTGTTGGAAAATGACTGATCTATATTGTGCTACTGCATATGAAGCATCATGCCACCATCACGTTCGGTATCCAACGGTCACGCAAGTCGGCTCATGGAAATTGGTTGTCACACTGGTGCATGACATTGAATAGATTTGTCAAAAGCCCGCTGAACCTGGAAAATATGCAATTGTACAACAGCATTGGAAGTTCCCGAATAAATAGTGTTTTGTTACAGGTGAAATGTTAAGAGTGAAAGAAACTCTCAACATTACCTTGGAGATTTAATGCAACAGTTGAAGCCGGTAAAAGCTTCGTGGTCGGAGAGAGAGAACTTTGGGATTAATTTTTGAGTACTAGATTGCGTTCCCTCTGGATGGAGGTATCAAGCGAACAAATAGAATCAATATACTTGGAGATAAAACCACAAATTCACTGATTCTATCTAGCCTCATCGGTACTGATGTGGCAAGCTAAATATTCCATTTTAATTTTTCAGTGTTTGTTACTTAGTTGCTACGGCCAGAAATCCACAGGCAAATAATTTGTTTCGCTGACACAGATCATTTATAAATTCTCTGTGCCGCCTATCGCCGGAAGACAGGAGCGCCATACAGATACGTTCTGTTCAACCCCCGTTAGTTACATTTGCAATGTACAACATGTGGCGTCTCATTCAGCAATATGGTGTATTGCAGATTGTGATCCGTGTTAAACAAAAATGTCATAGTCCTATAGGACAACAGACAGTGAAACGAAATTGGTCCCTAATAATTATTGTGTGACATATGCGAACTTTAGAGTGAGGTATATTTCACGAAATTTTTGCGCAATCTTTTTTGACCAACTAGCAAAGCATTGCATTTGGTTAAAATTGTTATGTTTGTACCGCGAGCAATCCCACAGTACCTGTAATTTCGTAATTCTGTAATAATAACTTGTGGAAACAAGTAGTTGTATATATATATATATATATTTAACCGCAGTCATTGCGCAATCAAAATAGATTTGAAAATGAATATGCGTCATTTCTGTGTGTTCGAATTTGAATCAGATTTTTAAATGGTCTGCGATTCTGTACGACAAAAAAAGGATATTTCAAATAGATTAATCAGTCATGATCATCATAGATATTATACAGAGAAGATGATTACCTTCCCGCAAATAAATTTATGAAAATCAGTAAAATTATACTCGACTAATATTATTGTATTCATTGTCATTGTTTTTCTCAAAAATAGAAAATAATATTGTCTGTACTCATGAGAAAATGTGCATCTTTTTATTCTCTCATTCATAAACGCTTAACAAAGATGGTCTGAAATTTGGAGTATATTAGATGGAACCCCTCAGTGCGTGTTGGACGGTCTCATTCGAGAGTTGCCATCATTGTTTGGGGTAAGTGATAAAACACTATTCCTCGGTTTTTTAGCTGGAACACATTTATCATCAGACACTATAAATACAGCACATGAGCAAGCACATTTACTCAACCAAACATTGTTGTTAAGATTAACTAATTTTTATGCGCAATAGCGAAGACAGGGTAGAATGCTTGTGTGGAGCAAGTAATAACATTAGTATTTGAACGCAATTTCTCACAGACCTTCAATTTCTCAAACTACAGATATTTTGCGATTGGCGTTTTTCATTGGGAGGCTTATTATTCATTCGGTCATAAAACGTTGAAACCGTGCCAACGGGTCTAACTAACAGAATGCACTTTATTATTAGACTTTGTAAATACCCCAAATTCTCACTCGGAAAAAATAATGATATTTGAAGCTACCAAACAAAAGCGCTCTTTTCAAATAATTGTTCTACTTCGTTTGAGCGGTTTGGGAAAACGTTAAAAACCATCGACAAATTATTCTTCTGGTCAATCAGTGTGTTTAAATGCAACACTCATCGCAAATTGCTTTTTTTCTGTTAGAATAATTCAAGTTGTAAGTAACACTGACAATTAGAATGAGTTGAAAATCTTAAGCATTGTCACTCAGAGCTTGAAAAAGATCGCGCTTTTTAGGACCGGTTGTAACCCATCGATACCGCCCTTCCCCTTTCTTTTTTTTGTTTAACTGTAAGCTGGTCATGTCCCGCAGTATCACGCGATCGAAAAACGAGGAGAAGGGAGATGTGGAAGTAAGTTGTGTTTTACTGATCCAAGCATGGTTTTGATATTTAACACTACCAGTGTTAGATTTAATATACTGCTCCTATTTGTTGATTTAGTTTGTTTACTACATTTTCGTCATATACGTTTGATCAATAACTCACTACTTTTGTTCATTAATTTATGGACAATCAAAAACTAAATGGAGTGGTTATATGAATTCAAGGATAAATTAATACATTTGAACAAAACTCTCTGACACTCGATTCGGGTCTGTGGATCCGTAATCGAGAAGCAACACGGTGGCTGATCGATGCACAATGTTCTTTCCGATAGTGGTGTCCAAACCTGCATCAAGGTGATCGATCTGGTTGATTATAAGTGTAATATGATTCGGCGAAATTGTGTTCTGCTTTTTTCTGTGTTTGTGCATGAAGACCATGGAGATTGTCTTACGTGGCTGGACGTCAATAGCTTGATCACCCGAGTTCCTACTACCTCTATACGTGCACACTGTCTATAGGTGTTGAATCCCAGGAACCGATCGAACCATATACCTCAAATTCTCACAGGCAGGGCGGTGGATGAATAGAATCAAAAGTATACCTCATCCAGTCTCCTAGCAACCTTGTCTTCAAATATGATTTCTTCTTGAAAAACTCATGTTAGGCATGGTTGATTTACCCAGCTCGTGGAACGAGCTCAGAGGTAGTATTTCTAACGACGGTTTCAAGCCCGTATCTGGTTTGATCCCGCTGTGTCTTTCTATTACGGTTCAAAAGTATTGCTACCCACAGCTGATACTATTGATGAAGTAGTCACTACTTTTATCGCTTTTAAAACTAAGAAAATGATTGCTGGTTCTGTTAATAACAATTGTATTATCATTCTCATTATTACCGATACAATTACTTCTACTACCAGTAGCGCTCCTCTTCTTTCTACCTTCAGTCACAGTCACAGTAACTCTACTACAACCAGTCCTACAATTGCTATTTCTATTCTTACTACTACCACTGACACTGTTCTTACCATCAATAGTATTGTTGTTAATGGTTGTTCATCTAATGCCTTTATTATTATTGTCAATACTGCCTCTGCCGCTAAGAAACTTACAAAACATTTTACTGCTGTTGCCATTCCTGTTGACACTATCAACATTGTTTCTTAACCTTACTGTCTACTACAGCAACTACTACTATCATTACTATCACTCGATTCCTGCTACTCGTAATAATACTGTTACTACGAAGAGTAAACCAACCTACACTACGGTTACGGCTACAACACATATTTTTACTACCAACTAAAAAAATAAAAAATGCCCTTTGACTTCTTTTCATTTATGGAATATCCAAATGTACATTGAAATTTCAGGACGGAGCCCACGGCCATAGAAAAACTGCCTGTAAAGATTCACTAATATAGAACACGGGCGGAGGTGAAGCGTTTCGAACTCGGGACTTCCAGGTCACATTTTGGTGACTTAACCACTTGGACAACACCAATCTTCTTATCACTCTAACAGCTGATGTACTGAAGCGATCATGGCATCTAATTTTACTAATACCACCGCTACTTCCGCATTTACGTCTACTACTGCTACCAATAATTTCACTACTAATAGCATTATCAAAATAATAATAAAACTTATAATGGTCATAATTATTGTTCAGTTTTGTTCACGCTAGTTTTCATTACACTCAATCATTCCCAATTTTTAACCATTTTCACCATCTGTTCATTATGTGCGTACAACTCATTTGAAGATAAGCACATTTATAATCTTTGAGTCATAGAAACATTGATATTTTCCGATTATGATTCAAAATTCTTCATTGTATGATTGAAACATACTACTGGGCTTACCAAACACTGATGTGTTGCTGTTGGTTGAAAAGTAGAATAAGATACGAGCTTTAGTTGACTGTTTGAGAAACATTAGCAGTAATTGTTGACGTGCACATTTTAGGCTTAATTTAGGCCAGAAGTCATAGCACTGGTGGGAACGCTTAGTTAATCATTACTTTCATGTTTCAAGGGAACACAGATTTTGCATAAACTTCATCAAGTGATAGTTAATAACTATTATAATTGGTAATTCGTTTCGTTCAAGTTTGTTCCCTGACTGTCCTACCAAATTTATTGTCTCAGCCCCACAGCAATACCAGACACACGTCTACGGGTGCTCGTTGTTTAGTTTCGTAAAACACTGCCACCGTAGTACAAACTATAACGGGGTAACAACTTGTTCACACTCTTCTTTCCTCATTTAGCATGTGAGAAGCACACAAAATTACAACCGGACTCTGAATTACTTCGATTCGTGCAACTTGCATCTAATCGACGTTCTTTAGAGGAGTTCTAGTGATCGACATTGAGTGGCACAAGTTGCCAGCGCTGCCCATGAACGATCAGTAATTAAGGAAGGTGTTGTCTCGTTCAAAGCAAATTTTTAGTCACTGATAATCAATGAAGAACAGATGATCAGGTACGGACTCATGCGTAAGATACATTCGGACACTGAACATCTTCAAAAAAATTGTGAAAACTCGGGCAACATAGAAGAAGAGATTTAGTAGACTGCTGCCTCTCATGGTGCTTTCATTGTTCCAAAACACTTGAAATTAGCGCAAGATGGAGGTTGTGAAAAGGTATATAAGAAAGATTTATGTAAATCACGTCATTCGTCAGTATAAGAGTGCGCAATAGAAACAGTTGCACAACGTTGTGTGAGCGAAATAAAGCCACTGGTGCAGCTCGCATCTTATGACTGCTTCTTTTCAGACCTGGCAAACTAGAATCGGTCAGATGAATAGGGAATATTGCAAACTCTCATGTGATTATTACTGTAGTCTACAAAAGGTAATGTTACCAAACCAATCGCATACGAGGAACTAATCAGAATCATTTTATCGTTATCGAGGAATCTTGGGAATTCTAAACGTTGAAAAAGGGGAATCCAGAATAAACTACGTATCATAGAAAGGTCAATTTAATACAACAAAAAGTATTCGCCGACCTCAGTTAAACAAGAATGACCCCCCTGTGGAGGTGTTCCACGTACAAAGGTACCAGGCATTGCATGGAAATCTTTTCCAGTGCTTATTCTGTGGATGTAAAAACTTTAATTTGCGGTTCTGTCAGCGGACCCTTTTTTTGAACGCATAGAAAAAATTATTTTACAGGTCATTTATCACATATAAAAACGTAGCATAACTAACGTAGTTCTTTGTCAGATCCTAATCAGATAGCTGCACGTAGTTTAGTCTAGCGTCTTTCTATTGTTGTGTCTTTAGAGGTGATTTCATTCACTGAACAAAGCACAACTTTACTACTTATTTTCGGGGGTTAATATAGCACAAGTTATTCCAGAACGAGATATAAAAGGGTGCAAAATTACTTGTGATACAACAGTAAATGACATCAAAAAAGAAACAGCAAATTCAAACTGATGGTACACAATAAGATTATATTATTTTAGAGAATAAGAGAAACATCGGTTTATCTCCTAAATGATTAGCTGTATGCTTGTTCATAAAAACTGCTGAGAACTAGTGTCCATGATTGAATTTGTCAGAAATCGATTTCGATTTCTGCTCTTAAGTTTCGGTGTGATCCGTCTTCGGGATTCCGCGTCGAAACGGTGAGAATATCCAGGAAATACTGAGGTGCATTTGGTCCGTAAGAGTGAGTTGTTTTCTGAATAAGTCATCGTTTTATCGTCTACGGTCGCTAATCCACTTCACTTAGGCCACAAAGCAATTAGTGCACAAGGAAAGAACTAAATCGACCACTTTAGGGTGACATTAGTGCTAAGTAAAAGCGGAAAATCTTTTAGTTACTCTGGAGTCTTTCTTCTTCATCAATAGTTTACTTTCAAAAAGTTTATTACGTAATAATTATATTGAGTCTATAATTTACTGTAATCGACCATACGACAGTAGATTTTATCTTACCATGACTTCGCCTTTTATATACCACTCATCTGTCAGAAAATCTTTTTATTTCGCTTTGTGGATTTTTATCAAATGTCTGATCAAATCGTAGAGAATCGACGTAAATATCATTTGAAAGAACGTGTTATCAGATTGCAGAAATAAACCCCTTTCGATATCGGCTCCATATTCATTTATCAGTATTGATTTGAAAAAATCACCATCTTAATTATCATAAAATTCATTGATTGTATCTCAAGACCTTTCTGTATGCTACGTGAATAAATTCGGTTAGTTGGATTATTATAATCATTTCTGAGTCACCAAACTGTGCACACGTTTTTGTTATCTCTATAGCCACATATAGTTGTTTCTCTTTACAAATTTGTATTAAAGAAGGTGAAATCTTCGGCTTGTACAAAGTACGCGGAAACCCGTGTATACATGATATCAGTGTGGCAGTTTGTGGAGGTATAAAAAAACAGACAAAATTAGAACCTTTACAAAAATAGATATCGGGGCAGATAAAAGGTGCGATATCAGAAGACAGACAGAGAAAAAGAGAGAGACAACGTGACTATTCATTTTGAGCTGGCTGCAGAGTTTACCGTCGTTTGGTGGACGGGTAGTGCTTTGATATGCTGGACTTACTTGGCGTTACTGATGGTACAACAAAATAAAAACATGCTTTTATTGTATTGTGTATAACTTTTGCAAGCACTGGAGCTCACTTTTGAGTTAAAAAAATCATACACGCAAACCGTCACAATGTACGTAATAAACTGTGAGAAACGTTTTCAGACATGGGCACATATCATAATCCATGGTTAAAACAAAGTTCAATTATCGTTCGCTCTCTATTTATGAGTGGACGAGCAAGATACGGTATAGGTGATTTGCGGTAAGCGTTCATTTGAGATGAAACTTGACGGAACTGGAAGCGTGTTGAATGATGGGAACAACAACCCGTCAGTTCTGTGTGCAATGCATGGGCAAGATCTGTGCGAATCCTCTCAGCAAATTCCAAACAGGAAGATAAGTGATACTCGGAAAGCTTTACAGCTAATTCCTTCACAGGAATATTAGAGACGACCAATAATGGTTAGACCGCGGCGTGATACTTTGAAATCCTGTTTGAGTAAGCCAGGAAAAATACTGGTGAGCAATAAAGTAATATGGGGAAAACACATTGATAAACGAAAGTAGAAATAACTGACTGCGATTCGCGAACTCGCCTGAGCTTTCGAATTTGAAATGATAGGCTCCGTAGTTTACCAATGTAGTTGTAAATGAGGGTTGACAAATGAGGATTGCTATCTATGGTTACACCAAAATATTTGACAGAGTTCACCCTAGATAAAGGATTGTTATCAATCATTGTGCTATCTGTCGGATACGGAGAGCGAGCAAAACTATTTAAATACTCAACACATTTACTGGGGTTTAGGATTAGCCCCGATGGGGAGGAGAATGACTGAATTTGATCAAATAGTCGGTGAAAGAGCTTAGATCAAAGTAAAAAGGAATGGGTTGGCTCAATACGATGTCATCTGCATATTTCAAAATTCGTGAGGGAGAAACACAAGGAATGTCACAAACATAAGTGGAAAATAAGTATGGCGATAACACAGCTCCTAGATGGACCCCGGAGTTGTTGATTAAGGATATCGATGTGGCCTTCCGAAATCTAGTGGTTTGTACCCTATCGGTAAAATAGTTGGATATACAAGCTAACAATCGCTTGGGGCATACAAACGATTCCAGCTTTAGTTGAGTACAAAATTTGTCTCGGAAAATGCTTCATTGACTTTAAAACTTTTTTCCATGAGTTTTTGTTTTGAACCCACATCGGAAAATCTTCGCTCATCTGGTTAATTCACCTCTGTCTATATTGGTGAATAGATTTAAATGAATATTTTAATTTGCAAACATCACTGAATTCAATGGCGTGATTTTTCTTTAAAATTTGCTACTACTCGGATGATTGTGAACACTATACATTGTTCGGCAGGGTGGTAAATGCGTTGACAGATGGGATCACACGCTTTCTACTCTGTGGTCGATGATGTCATCATTGAATGTTTGCTTCATTGAAACTCACAGTTTCTGTGCTCAGGGTGATTTCAATTTCGCTAATCTCACTCCAAAGTGCCCCTAGATGATTCCCCATGGATTCGCGGTTTGTCAAAACGTTCGAATTACTTTTTAATATTCTTTATTCGTCTAGTTGCCTACCCAGATCATGATTTTCATCTTGTCTGGAAAATTGTACAAAATAATTTGATAAGATGTTCTCTCTGAATACAGCTGGTGAAATAAATGTATTGTTCAAAGTCTAAGGGAGACCAGACATACTTGTATTCAGAGAACCGGTGCCTTTCTCTCCTTCCCAGTGCTCCATTGTTCGACAGTTTGGATGAATTTTGTTGAGTTTATCCAACAGTTCTTGTCTATTTTTGTTGTTCTTTTTATCGAGCTCAGTGGTCTCATTCTTGTGACAAAAAAATATCCCCTCCTAAACCTAGTCTCATTACCGTTATCTGAAATGGGTAAAAGTTGTCCTGTAGATCTGGTCTCCATTGTACCTTTTTTCTCTGTATGTTTTACCTAGAAGGAAAATAGAAGCCTAAATAGATTGACATTTTGCCAGTTCCACTATGTTTGATCCATTTACAGATAAACTCGACCATTCCCATAAGTTTATGTATAATGTACACCTAGAGAAAACATTCGATTCTAGTGTTTTTTTATTCCTTCATTATGTTCCAGAATTCGAAGGTGTCTCATAGGCTGTATTTGGCTAAGTGCCACCGAATTGCTTCTACGATTTTTATCAGCCATTTCGTAATGCCGTAATACAGGGAGTTGACCCCTGATAAACTAGGTCGGAAAGGTAGACCCCATGAACCCATGATAATTCGTACAGTCGAGAAATCGTAAATCCACATTGTTTAATCTATTCAAAAATGGGCGGATCTGGATGGCACTGATTCTCGAAACAGTGGAAGCCATCTGTCGTTTACTTTTCAGTATGCGTGTTTCCGCCAAGCCGTTTGAGAAGACAAACGAAATCAGCTCCGTTGCCAACAATTCTAACGACTTTCATGATTACTACTGGAGCTGACTTATTGGGCTTACTCAGTGCAATGATATCTTCTATTATAACTGCTCTCAGTTCGGTGAAAGGTTTTAACGTCACGGAGGCACAAATAAATTAACTAAGCTTACGAAATAAACAGCAGTAGTTTGTCAAGGTGAACTTCAATTACTCTAATTCATCGTCTTATTTGGGTTCTGGTTCTCAAGTTGAACTTCTAATTCTACAATAAAAATGAATAGTTTCGCTTACTTTTTGTTTATTAAGTATAGACATGTACAATAATCATACAGAAACGAGAAGCGACCGTACAATGGCTGCTTGGGAAAATACATCTGAGGAGAAAACGCGTAGCAGCGGCGTAAAGCAAACGCAGAAGTCCAAGTGGCTATTTGGACGATTTTAGCACTCGATCACCACCACCCCTTGGTTAGTGATAATCCGTTACGGGGCTAACAGATATTCGCACCGAGTGATAGAATTTTAATGAGAACAAGAATATTTTTTCAACTTGGAATAATGTCGATCAGGCTGTGATGGAAGATGGCATTGGGGTGTGGTGTGATTTATTTTGTGGCAAGTTGGATCGACTGGGAGTAGCACATTAATTCACTGCACTCTTCGAACGTAAGTTTGTCAAGAGCTGATTGCGGGTGAAATAAATTCCGCTCATATTCATCACCTGTTGCATCTTGCAAATTCAATGCATGCCTCTGTGGAGTTTTGGAATTAGGGCAAATCATATTTCGGATTGGGAATTTTTTAGTGAATTTTAGAATACACTTTGAGTTGCACGTATTCATCAATGAATTCACTTAACATTTTTCCCTTCACATGGTGGGTGGCCATTTTGAGGGCTCATTTCGTTGCACAACCAAACGAGGCTCCACTAAATGTGTGAGATTCCTGAATATGCTCAGAATGACATCAGAGCGCCCGTTCAAAGGTGACTACCTTTTTCGTTTATTCATTACCTAACCTGTACAGATCATATATTATCATATGTTATTTCTATTAGTAGAGCCAAAATAGATAAATTCAGCA